CTCATTTTTATTAATTAAAAAAAAAAAAAAAAGTTGTTTCTTGGTCACAATTAATTGGCAAAAAATTACCAAACAATTTAAGTTTTCCTCATAAATTGGCAGAATAAAGTTCAACGTGTATGGATTTTTGCAGTTATGTCGATCAGAATTTTTGCTGCTCGGACAGTGCAGTAAAACAACAAAAATATGTGTAGGAGTTGTTTCGCTGAAAGTAATCTACATAAAATTATTGCTTCTGGTTGATTGACAGCTATCTTACAAAACGTTAAGTGATATTTGAAAAGAAAGATTTATCCGAAAAAAAAAAAAAAGATTTTTAAAAAAAAAGGTATTTTTAAAGTAAATACTGTAGACATTAAAAAAAAAGACTTACTTATTTAACTGGTTTTTACTGTCTAAAATACTATCTCCATTACTGTCATATGCAACACCAGCATACATCGACAGTTTGCCATAAAATCGTAAGTACTGATAAACTTTATTTACCAGATATTCCCAAACGCCTAAAATTTTATTACCCATTCTTTTCCCTTAAAGTAGATGATTAGAAAGCATAATTTTTAGACTCAAAAATTTAAATAACGTTCCGCTTGTCCTCTACAAAAAAAAATTTGTACGCTAATCATATTAAGAAATTGACTAACCATCAGCTCATACACTTTTCTTTGTAATTTGTTTTCATCCGGAGACAGCAGTATATTGGTACTTAGTTATGCTTTTTAAAAAATAAGCCACAATCCTAGCCGGAAATTTAGATAAATTATCTTAAAAAAAATTTTTTTGGCCCATAAACAAAAAATATTTCCAGTGATACAGTCTCTCTAATAGTACACCCAAAAATTTTTGTAAAGAATTGCGAAGCGCCTCTTTGGCTTTTCCAATAGTGCAATAAATCTGATCAAAAAAAGAAAAAACTGGTATTCAAAAGATAAATCGTTTAGAGCTTAATAAGTTTACAACTGTTTTAATACCATCTTCTTTAAACATATTTGCATAATCAAAAAAAAAAAAAATTATAGAATTCTTAGCTAATTTTTTAAAGTACAGTTGCTTTTCTTTTAGCAGCTTTTTATAACCGTATATATTTGCTTAATACATTAATTTCTTTTCTTTCTCTATTTTCAATTCTGTTTTCTCCAATTTTCCATTTAGAAACTTCGTTTTTAATTTCTTATTTCAGGATTAACTAACAAAACATGATAGATACTTTTCTGCCTTTATCAAAACAAAAAAGTGCGAACAAAAATAAAAATTAAAATTAATTATTGATAAATTTCGAAATGTTTAACTAAGTGTGTCAGATTACCAAGAAATGAAGCGGTTATATTTTTGCTGCATTTCAGCTGCTTACAATAAAGAACTAAAGAGTATATTTTGATATGTTTAGTCATACGGAGCTGTAGGCAACAACTACAATTCTGTTTCTTCAGATGTTTGAAATAGAGCATGTGAAAAAAAAGTGCAAAAAAAGTGGTTTTTGAGAAAGGAAAATCTGTTATTTTTGTTAAAAATTTTGTTAAAATTACAGGATATATTTACAGATAAAAAACTGCACTAAACGATTCATTTTCTTATTTTTTTTTGTAAC